TATTTTCCATCAAATAGAAAATTATCTCATTACTAATTAAGTATAAATCTAATTTAATTTAATTAAATATTTTCTATCAAATAGAAAATAATCTCATTACTCATAAATAAATATTCCAATCTAATCGAATATTTAACACTCTCGATTCACTCTTAGTCGAAAAACTGATTGCATATTGTGTGACCCTATAGGCCTTCATATATTGACATAAATCTAATTTATGATCCTTACGAAACTCCTAGACTGCGTCGAAAGACGAACTCAAAATATGAAGTACGTTTACATGGACAAGCAAACAAACCTTTCGTGTAGAACTCAATAGTGATACGGTCCCTTCATTTTTTTTTTTTACGAAACGATAAAGATATTATATAAAACGCACAAATGTGCAAAGAGCAGCCACCAGCTGATTACAAATAGCCAATATTTGAATACAAGTAGCCCATAGCTGAAAAAGTGGGAGGACAGGTCAAAAGACCGCCTAGAGCTGACCCAACGGGGTAATACTCAAGAACACTAAAAAAACCCAAAAACAACACAAAGACCGCCACAGGGTAATACCCGAGTGTCAGACCCCCACAGAGTAATAAAGTGACATTCGGGTGCACAGAGGCCAACGACTCAAACCTAAAATACAGATACATCACAAACACACAAATACGGATACAAAAGCACAAAACAAAAGAACAAGGAAACTAAACTTAATAACAAACAAAGCTCTTCCCCAGCCAACTAACGAGCCCAAATCAGCAGAGAAACAATTGGTCCAAGAAGATCCCAAGCCCGAGGAACGGCTACCGAAACTGCAACACCGCCTATACAGAAGCCGGACTCGAGCCCCGAACCCATCTCAATTCGACCCACCTCCAACCGAGAGAACAAGGCCAACTCCCCACCCCTGCACTATCCGACCTCGCCTAACACCACTAGTCGAGCTCGAAAGCGTCAGACCCACCCAGTCCCCAACATCAGAGAACCGGATGTGATGAGAGCTGCCCTGTCCTGCACTCCGGCAACCCCGGCGAAGAACGCCTCAGCCACCAGAGTCCCAACCCACCCGCTAACCCACTCACCACCCAAACCGCCGCAGAAAACTGGTGACCATCAACCAAACCTCACTGGACTCCCCACCAGAGAAGCAGAGTAGTCCGAGTGGGACTTCAACTACTGATGGAACAGTGAGAGGAGGGCTTACCTCCGCCAAACAACGAGCTATAGGTGTCCGAAAGGGAACCTCCAAACACCGTCAGGTTGCCGATCAAGGGGACTCCTCCTCCAATTGCAGATCTATCGGCAAACAAAGGGCAGGCCGCACGGAAAAGACAGCAACACTGGGCGCGAGGCATCTGGGACGGGCCGAGCAGTCAGAGGCGACCGCTGGCCAGGCGTCGCTGTCACCGAGGAAGGCGAATCGGCAGGAAGAAGGAGCGATCGGTGGTTAGGGTTTTCTGACGCGAGAGAATTTGGGCGAGAGTATTATTTTTATGTAATTATATATATATATATATATATATAATGGGCCTACTCTCAGATCTAGAGTGAACCGATGGTTTAGAGCTCAGATCTGTTTGAACCGCCTTCGAATCGTTGCTAGACCGCCGTAAACACCTGCAAGAACTCAACGTCGGAAGTGTTTCCACCGTAGAGCCTCCGACACTCAAGTCAGTGTATGAAAGAGATGAAGAAGGGCTGCTCTCAGGGAGGAGCAGCAGCAATAGAGAAGTGTATGGAATGAATGGGAGTTAGGGTTTAGGGTTACCTCACCTCCTTTATATAGGAGGAAACACTTACTTGAAGTACCCGAAATGCCCCAGTCGTTTACCTGAAAGGTTCAAATTACCCCGGTCAGTTCGTCTCCTCTCCTCGTTGAGTCACCACAAGATTCCCTCTTATCTATTGGAGAAGGCAGGGCCTTTAAGTATGCTTCAAGTGCGATGAGTCGTCCTCATGCTTCAAGCCTCGAGGCCCAAGAAGTCGACCTCGAGCACTGAGAAGTTGACTTATGATCATGCGAGTATTCGGAGGCTACACTTTGTTGTTCTTAAATAGAAGCCGACTTCCGGAGTCGACCGCAGGAAGTCGACCTCAAGGAGTCGACTTCCATAGATTTCGCCCTTTTCTGGTGGTCATGATGTGCAGAATCGACTTCTGGCATGTCGATTTAGACATGTTGACTGGGATACGTCGTCATGTGGGCAGCTTGAGTATTTGTCCGGTCGAGTGGAGAGCTCTTGGACCGGCACATCGTAATATGGCTGAATCATCTAGTCCCCTCCTAAAAATTACTCTAAGCGACTCCGAGCTTAAGAGTAAATGTGGTTGATCTAATGCTTCTTTCGATGTCGCTCTTGTTTTCTTCTCGACATCGGGGTTTTTCAGGAAGTCTTCGTTCGACCCATCATCATTACGTCTGCTAAGTCTTGCACACGATTTGTCCTGCTAGCTTATCGCGCCACTGCCCGTCTCGTCGTTATATCCCGCTACTCGCGATTGGGTTCTAGATCAGATTCTGCATCTAGTACCTTCTGGACTTATCTGACATTTTGGCTTTCAAATTTTGAAATTAGGGTTGTAATGATGTATTGTTCTGTCTTTTGCCGCTTTGAATTCCGTGCCTTATCAAAAACCGTCAGATCCGGCTTTGATCCAAGGGCTAGCAATCATTTTCTCCGCCTATAAATACCTTTCTCCTCTGAGGAACATTACCTTTCGCAATCTCTTGCTCTCTCTAGAATTCTCAGGCTTCTCCGGCGATCTCTGCACTCTCGGCTTTACCGGCGCTCCTCCTTTCCTGGCGACTTCAGGCTTTCAAGGCTTCCTTAGCAGCAATCATGTGTAAGTTTATCTCTTTCTCAATCCTGTTGGTTTTTACTTGTGTTATTTTTGCGGATCTCCCAACCCTTTCTGGGTTTTTTCTGAGTTTGAAAACCTTGAGTGTTCTTCATGTTCTTCAAATTTTTCGTATGGGCTTTTCGTTAGATCTTTCTCGCTCGAATTTTCCTTTGGATTTCTTGTTTGCCCCTACTTTGCCGCATATCGACTTTTGGTACAAAATCAATTTGCACTTCTTTAGGTTGATTTAGGTTTGATTCTTCCTGACATTCACCGTATCTTCTCGTTCTCACGATTAGGACGAGTCGAGTATTCTCGTGGTTTTATTTGTTTCGGAGCCGTTTTTCTACGGTTACCCTTCCATATTTCTTCTTTGGCTCAACTTGTGACGACTTCCACAAGTTGATTTGTCCATTGTTGGTTGCGCTGGTTTTCGCTTCATACTGAATTCACCTTTACTGATCTTCGACTCTCTTTTCTTTTTCGTTCTTCTAGATTCTGACTCCGACTCTTCGCCTGACACTATTGAACATTTGATCGACGAAGGCGCTCAATCATCCGACTCGGTACAAGTGGTTGGTTTTAAGTTAGCTGATCTATCGCAAAATTCTCCCGTTTCAGATGTATCTTCCTTTGTTATTGACCAA